ACGAGAAAGAACTAGCAAAAAGATAAGAAAAAATGCATGGTTACTCAACGTTAAAGTAAAACGAAGAGGCTTGATTATGCCGGATATTGAATGAGATAAAATATTTTGTCAAACAAAGTGAATAAAGCTTACAAAGACCTACTTTTCGTTTGAAACTCGATTAAAGCACAATTTAGTTGTGGGGCTGAATTGCATTAAGTGTAATCATAAATTGGAATCTCTTAAAATAGAGCGTCTCTATGAGAGGACACAATCGCAAGAAATATCGTGGGCAATATTTGGAGCATATTGATTGCATACATTTGTTGGGCTCGTTAGTCACTCAATTAAATGAATGAGAGGAAAAAAAACGAGTTGGAAAATTGACACAGTCGGCCAATGGTCGTTTTGCGGAACGCAAACTTATTTTCGCGCAAGGATTTTTGCATCCATAAATCAATGGCGATATAAAATGGATTCTCACGCTTATGCAGTTAAATCGTAATAAATTAACGGTAAAATACACAGGCCTCGCTCAGTTTAAGCTCTGCATATGTACATGTATGTGTGTGTTTATGGTCATTGGTTTTAGGGGTGTGGTGAGCGCGTTTATTATTTCACCAATGCATGGCTTTCATCTGCCGTCTACATTTTCATTCAGTCTCTCAAATCGAATTTATGAAGCTCAGCACATTCACATACAGCGACACGCCAGTACTGTGCTGAAAACAAATTTGAAATGTACACACTTCGGCCAGCATACAAAAGAGAAAATGCGAGTGAGAGAGAAAGAGCCGGAGCAAGAAAAGGACAGAAAGATAGAAAGACTGAACTGGCTGGCTATCTGACGTTTATAAAGCGCCATGGAAAATGGATTTTGAAACGCGTTGTACGCCATTCGCATCAACACAAAGACATTGAAGCAAACAGACGACATAGCATTAATTGCATTTACATTTATGACGACGATTTTACTGCCACTTTACCACCAATTAATGTCAATAAAACACATTAAATGGTTTTCACTGGTTCACATCGAATTTTATACATTACATTGTTATTCCTTGAACAGACAGAGTGAGAGAGAGAGAGAGAGAGAGTGACGACCAAACCAGGATCCAACCACCGCATATACATATATATAAAAATACATACGCTTGAAAAACTTTATGCCACACGTAATGCATTGGTGCAGGGTAAAACGTTGTGCATGACGGTGGGTTTTGCATCTGCCAACATTTGCGGTTTGCTGCAATTTATTTGAATGTGCAAACGAGCTGAACAAAGCATATCTCTTCTGATTGCCCGACAAAGTAACCAATTCACCCATCGATTTTTAGTTACTATGCTTTATTTAATCAACATCGATTTGCACATGCATTTCTATTACTTGCGGCACATTAAATTCAGATGAATTCACGCATCACTTCAGCCGCACTCTTTTCACCACTTTTATAATGCTTGTTTTTTCATCTAAATTTCTGAGAAATAATTAAAATTGACGTGCAGCAGCTATGAGTTATTCATATATTACTACCGTATGGAATTCCAAGAGTCATTTCAACCATGAAGGCTGTCACTTTTAAGTGATATTACAAAATGCACATAATCTGCTTTAATTTCTCTCTTGGAACATTCCTCTTCTGGGGCGGTTTTTAATAGTTTTTGATAAAATAGTTAAATTGAGTGTTTTTAATGGAGACCAAAGCCTTATTTGTTACTTTTTTAACGATTACAATGACGATCTCATAAAGTCGATTGAAAAAAATGGCAATTCAAAATATATTCATTGTCAAACTAAAGTAACTGTATGATGAGCTATTATTACATAATGGTCCTTTCATTATTTGTCCATTGTGTCTATTATTTAACTAAGATGCAAAGTGAGTAGTAGTAAAAGTTCAAAATTCGAGACATCGAAATAAATCTTATTCGGCAATAATGGATTACACTCGAGGGTTCGAAGTAAATGTCGATGTTTTTCGTGAACGTATATAAAGTTCATGACGTTCCTATAAATATCACGATGCTTAAAAATGCATCAGCGCTTAATCATGTACGATTTCACACGACATGACCAAATGTGTAAGTGATAAAACGTGCACCGTAGTACTGTTTCTTCATTGTTGCAACCTCGTGTTTGCCCGCGTGTATCCGGATTCCAAAAATTCATAATGCGTTTTTATCCACATTTCTTGTGTCTCCTGTATGTGTGTGTGTGTGTGTCTTTTGTCAGTGAATTTTTGTCTAACTCAATTTACCGACTATTTACTTTGAATGAACGGCTTTTCACCACGAAATTCACTCCTCACAATTCCCCAAGTTGAAATATTCCCAACTTATTGCGTGGAGTGTGCGCAGTAATCGATTGCCCCTTCGTGCTCACACACCGGTTGAGAAATGCATGTAATTTTTTTGGTTTTCAAGAGAAAAATGTGTTTGCAGCAACGCTATGCTAATCAGTAGTCGCTTGTTGTTTGGCCGATGAGCACAAACGGACGATTTGATTCCGCGCCTGCCGTGCGAGACAGATTGAATCGGTGCGATAACCGTGATTTGAGTCGTTATAAATTCATGCGATTTGGATTCAGCCTTGTTCATCAAACACATTAGTAATAATTTATAAACGAGCAAAAGACCACACAATGATACATACGTACCATTGTATAAATTTGCGGCTTCTTCCCGGTTAATTATACATTGCCGATATGCACAACATTACTACCACTACCGCTGCCGCCACCATCACATCGATTTTAATATTCAAAAACAATCATCGAAACCATTCAATCAATTATTCAAAAGGAAAAAAGAATTGATCGATCAAAAAGCACCATCAACACAGTGTTGTACGCCGTTTCCACCATCTGAATTAATCATTTTTCACAAATCAACCAACATCAATTTGGTGTATTAATGAATTTGTGCTGGATAATAGTTAAATTGATACACTAGTGTTCGGATCAATGTATATCCATTGTTGGGGAAAATATTTTGTAAATTAATATCAAGTGTTTTGTAAATAATAAAACGGAAACAATTGCAACAATTCGATTCATTTGATGATTTCGAGTGTCATTTTTGGAAACACTGAGTTTTGAATGATCGATAAATTACCATCCATCGATAAATGGGAGTATAAAGATTGAAGAAAGCTATTGAAAACACCACCAAATGACTTGAATATCAACAGCTTGATATCAATCAAAATTGTGTGCCACTTCATTTCGTAACGGAATTTTCGTGCTTTTGAATCTCCTTCGTCATAACAATCAGTTCGGTGTGCTGTGTATGTGCGCAACGCGATGACAGTGAATCGGATAAATCGAATTACAAGTCATCAATGAAATATCGCATTTTGATATGCTGTCAGATTAATCGAATCACAAATAAATTGACAAAAATGAAATGATCGCTCTCAATATAGCCGCACCATGTATGTGAACAATGTTTTAGAGTTTTGATTGGGGTTTTATGATTATTTTTCAACATCCATCGCTATTATTGACATCAAGACCGTGTGCTTTGTGTGTCTGTGTCTCTATTACGCGCGTGTTTCGAACGGAAATTAAATAGATAAATATCGGAAGTGTGCGCACGGGTATAATAAAACGGGAAAATGATATTAAATATGATGGCATGAAAATTTACATCTCAATTTTCTCCCAGGGAGACTTAATTAATTTGATGAGTATACATTTTCCACGTTACGCCATACACTGACCATTGTTGAAACACATGTCACAGGATCAAGTTCATATCGACGAAGAGTACTTGAAATTACCATTTTCAATGGGAGAGGTGCGATAATTGTAACCACAAATGCCTGAAATTATGTCGAACACCTGATGAAGAGGAATACACGTATAGAATTGCATGTGTTGAGAGAGGACGAGAGCGTAAAAACAAGTGGAGCACATCAGAATCATAGTAAATAAATAGGAAAATTCTCGCAAATCCATCATATCATTAAATATAAATGTGAACGCATAACACACGAACTAGGGTAAAAAAACATGTTTGTAAACAAGCCGTACACATTAATTTAAAGACGAGCATAAAAAAACACCACACGGATCTTATCACTCATATTCTTCTCTGTCTGTGTTTTGAATAATAATTTCTGTGCAATTTTTTTTTTCATTCATGTGAAATGAATGCAGAAAATGATGAACACATATACACAAATTTTACAATCATATGATCTCGCTTACGCAGTCGCAAAATAGTGAGTGAAAAATAAAATATTTGGTGAGCGTGAACGAGTGCTTAAAATAAGCAACAATTTTATGGTTTGAAATTTTTGAGGGAAAAAAACAGCAACAACAACACAAATGATAATCAACTGATACAGTTTTGCTTTCATTTTGGGTACGTGAAAAACGAGCAAACTATCAAAACAGAACAGTGCTAATTGAATGCAAACAAAACGGAATGGCGAAATTTTCATAATTGAATAAAAAAAGTTTTGTTTCGGATTAAAGCCAACTCACTTTAAATAGAGAGAGAGAGAGAGAGAGAGTGAGAGAGAGAGAGAGAGAAAGCGGAAGGGAGAAGGGTAAGAGAGCAGTAAAAGGAGTAGGAGAAAAAGCCGTCAAAAATAGTGAAATGCAATTAGAGAAAATGGATCTGCTTTAGTGCTGCTCAACGCACACACACCCACCCACCCACTGAAATAATGAACTGCAATCGAGCCTTTTGTTTCCCATTGAAATTGTTGTATAATTACAAACTAGAAATGCATTGTTCTGTGCCACCACCGCACTGGAAAAATAACGATATTAATAACATAAATCAGTAGGAATTTCTTTTTTTTTCTTGCTGCGTTGCACCAAACAGATTTTCTGAAGTGAGAGCTTGTATTTTTAACGAAACTAACTTTTTGAGTGAAGTAATTCCGTCGACAATGTGAAAGGTGAGAAAAAAAGCAGAAAACCAAAGTGTAAAAATATTTTTTCAACATAAAAAAAAACGATTGTGTGCTACGGTAGCACTGCTAACTTTGTTCGGGGGTCATATATTCAATGAGGTAACAATGTAATCTGCGGAAATTGCAAACACATTTAGCAAAGCAGCTGTAGAAAATTTCAATTTCACATTTTACTAATTGAACGCGTGCGCGCAATGCGCTTCAATATGCAATTTACATTTGATATCTGCAACTGAACCTGGGGTGGTGGACTGAGAACCAAAGTGATGACAACTTAGTTACATCAATTAACAGCGTTTAATACCACAGGGAAAAAAAGAGATACAAAACAGACGGACACAACAACAATACCATAAAAATTACATCGATAATTGTGTGCACAGAAAAAAGGGAGTGTAGAAATAGAACGGATGCAAAACGGAAAACGATACGGAATAATTGTTTTTTATCTCGTTAGAATGAATGGTAAGTATATTCGGTGTATGTGCACGTTTTTTTTTGTATATTCTTCCTCCCGTTTTTTTCTGTCGTTTCAATAACAATTTTTTTCCGCTTCGGTTTTGGTATACTGTTTGCACTCGACAGCGACATTCGTTGTGGTCTAATGATATTTTCTATGATGCTTCAGCCGAAACGAAAGGCAGAGAGTAACAGAAAATATCGTACACGACAAAAATGTAAATGACAAAACCTACTCCCCTCATCACACACCCAACGACATTCAACGATGGAAACTCATAATGAGAACATCATAATTTTTTTTTTCATTTAGTTTTCCTTTCACAAATCAATTTTGCAACCGCAAACGATAATAATGTGGCATTCGTGACATTCAAACCGTCAACGTTTAAAGTGATATTTACCTTCGTATGCGACTGTTGTCGGTTGGAGGAAAATAATATAATTTTCCATTTCAACGAAGTCTCGATTCATTTTTTCTCTCTTTCCTTATTCTACTTTACTAGTTTGATACACTTTTTTTCTGTTCTGATCTCCCAAATGAAGAGAGCCAGAGAGGAATAAGAAAAGGAAAATAATAAAACATAAATTTCAGTCTAACGAGTGCACATACACAATAAAATTATGATAATATGGTATCTAGATTCGACGAGTACCGCTATTTTTTTCCCCTGTATGTGTGTGTGTGTGTGTGTTTGAAGTAGAATACGGGAAGCTTTTGTGGATGGATAAAACACAGTGGCGGTTGCGAGAAACAGAAACTACATTAGCAACAAAGCCAGAGATGACTGCGCCGACAGAGAGAAAGAAACGTTTTTTTTTCCTTTCTTTGTCGCATATGATTACGGACAAAAAAAGGAACACACATATACATAAACCCAGAACCGAGTCGAGCGTGTTTTGTGATACGAGCAACCGAAATAGAGAAATAAACTAAACATCTCTTCCACAGCAAACAAATGTGAAATTATTATCACAAGTAGTCGCCTTCAGTATCGTTGGTCGGTCGGTCGGTCGGTCGGTGTGTGTATGTGCGGGACATGATATGTGCTGGAGTTAAATGCGTGTGCAACAAAAGCAAAGAAAATATTTCTACTAAAATAGCAAACGAACTAACAATGCCCAGCGCCAAAAACTCTTGAAAATATCATCACGTATGCAATTTATCATTGTGCAAAGCAGCAGTATCGGGGTATGCCTAGATAGTGCACACCTATCGGCCGCCCTTTGTATATCGTATTCTCTCTCGCTTCGCTGTGTATTTATGTGATTTGCGTTAACGAAAAGCCTGAACGGACTCAAGATTTCTTCTTCTACACTTTTTTCCTTCTCCTTCTCCGCTTCGAATGGAAAACCATGTCCTAAGAAAAAAAAAGACGAGATATTCAAAAAGAAGTGCCTTTTTTCACGCCGTGGCCAAAAGTATGAAGCAAAGAATGAAGGGAAAAAATTGTGTATTTCATGTCCGTTGCCTGAAATCCTTATCGCCAGGAGACCAGTCGCCTTTTCTTTCAGCTCCAGATCCAAAAGTGAGAAACGAAAAAGAAGAAAAAAAAGCATATAAATAATACAAATAGATATGCCACATCGGACGAACTGTTCTGAAAGACGTGTATTTTTCGGTTGTTGTTGCTGTTGTATTTAGTTTGCTTACCGTCGTCGCTATTCGAGAGTGAGACCGTTTGCCGCTTCGTTGTTCACATTTTCTTGCATCTTGAAGTCTCGGTGCTTAGCTTCTGACCAGACCCGTGTGTGCGACGCGCTGAAAGACCAACCATATCGACCATGGTATGAAGAGAAAAAAACAACATCATCGTTTCAGTTCACATGCACCAGCAGCAGCAGCAGCAGCGCAAAGTGTTTAGTTGAAATTGAAAACTCCTTGGTGTATATTTTTTTATCCTTAAAACTTGTTAGATAAATATTTCTTTTCTTATTCGTTCAAACTTTCGACGCTCGAGTCGTCCCTATCTCTCTCTCTCTCTCTCTCTCCTTCCTCCTTCCATTTTTTCACTTTGCGTTTCGTTGGTTATTTGCTTTACAAATGTTTCGGTAGTTCACAAGTCATAACCTATGCGATTACTCTGTGGCTATGGAACGTGGAGGACGGATATTTTGTGTGTGTGCTGCAAGCTCATGCATGCGGGAATTTTGTGTAATTTTTTTTCACACTCCCGCTCTCTCTCTCTGCCGTTTTCACACTCTCGCACTTTCGTGATTGTCATCCCATATTTTATTCGGCTTGTCATCGCACGTGTTTGTTCGGTGCTCAACACATTTTTACGCTTTGATGGAATATCATTTGCATTTTAACGATTATTTATGGGCCAACAAACCGAGAACAACAGCAGCAAAAAATTATTGATGTATCATTTTACGTGAATTGAAAGGCATTGAAACATATGTGGCCCAGATTTTTTGAACAAGCACTTTTTTTCGTTTGTTCATTTTCCCGGCGACGTTCACACATTTATAATTCATGTGTTGTTTTTTTTTTCGTTTCGGCCCATTCATACAAGTTTGGTCACACCGTGGGATTTAAATCTCGAACTTTTCATCATTTTCGCCGAATAATTGCAGCGATAGCACTTTCTATTATACGCTCTTAGCTCTCCACAATCTTCTTTTCTTCTGGTCGATTTTCATCTAATTAATTTAATGACTTTCTTGTGGCTTCTTTAGAACTAAGTCAAACTACGCACACTCCAAACGATCTCGTTGCTTTTGCTTCATCGCAATGCATAACGCTGAGATTTTTACACAGTGACTTTTCACAAAACTTTTCTCCATACTTCGCTCATCAGCTTTGAACATTTCTAATCTTCATTAAATGAAAAAATTGAAAAAAAGAAAAAAATGCTCGAGAAAAGATTGTTGAAAAAAAAATATCTCTCAACAATTTAAAGTTTAATACTCATACTTAAAAACTGATTGCATTCCCGAATGAGAGGCATCTATTTTACATTCACGCATCGTAAATGCTACTGAAATTGCGCCGGAGAGAGTGGGTGCCCGGCCATCCAACCAAAGAGTATGTATTGCAAACGTAATTTGAAAACTTTATTTCAAAGTTTTTGATTCCTTTTCCGTTTTCCTACCTTCAATTTTAATGCGCAAAGTGATTTTGAACTATGAACTTTGTAAATTGACCGAACAACATCTCGCTTTCTGTCTACCCTCCCCCCTCTCTCGGGCGCTCGTATGCCAAGTAAATTGGTGTGATTCTTTTCCGCTTTATTTTCTTCGAGCAGCTTTGCTTTCGAATTGCTTGGCCAAATGATTCAAATCGAAGAGTTCAACAGAAGCCACAACAGTAATAAGGAACAATGGGCGAAAAGAAGAGAAAGTCGCATTTGTTTGGAATTTTAAAAGTTTCGTTTTCGGTTGTCTTCAAATCGGATAATTCCATTGTACTTAGCTCTTTTTTATGTTCTGTGAATGGGATACTTTTTTTGGCATTTTAACTAAACATCCATTGAGTTGATGTTACAGTTGTGAAAGAACGTGGTCGTCGTCGTCGTTGTCGTCCTGTTTACGTGAGCGTTGCCTGAAAGTTGTAGGTGATTTTGTAATTTAAAACCATTGTTCGAAATGGCAAGAACAATGGGCGGATTGTAGGCGGTGAATATGACATTTACGGTTCAATAAAATGCGTATTTCAAACGAAGTAAGCACCTGACATCAGCACCCCGTGTGACATTATAGCCCATCATTTCATGATGACAGCGTTGCTTATGTGACATCATCACATGAATGTGATGCTTTTAAAATAAAAGAAAATCGTTAATGGCAATTCGTAAGTGGGAGTTTTTCGGTTTGCCACTAATAAAACGGCCATTGTTACTGAGGCACACGGATTTAATTGCCATAAAATAAAGTTTGATGTGCGCATAAAGGGGGTGCATTTATTTTCGTATGAATTGGCAATAATTTTGTATTTTGCTCTGTGTTTGAATGTTTCATAATGAGCCGCGATGTGTTGGTGTCAGAAATTGTGATTGTGTTAATGGCAGATAGAAAAAATTATCGTTCGTATGCGGAGAGCAGCATCGCTAAATATTATCGTCGATGCAAAGCGCCATTGTTTAAAGTGTCATTAGAAGCAATTTCGGTGGGTTCACCGCGATTTTGTGATGTGCAGTAAAATGATCGAGGTAAATTAGCTAAATGAATGCAATTTTTTTTTTCTGAGGTAGCAACAATGGAGCAAACCCGATCGTCTCTAAACAATTACACGCGTTGAATACTTGTTTTCTAGTTTTGAGTCGCAGCACCTGGGCCATTTTTCCGGTTGCGCATACTGTTAATGACATTATGGACGCGGTTATTTGTTCGCTGTTGTCGGTTGAACGGTGTGTGAGTCTCTGTGTGCGTGATGCAGAACAATCGACATTTGTTCTGGTTTTGCTTCATTAATGAAATCGCAAACGTTAACCGCTTCATTCATCGGCATTCAGCGGTAGCGTATGAATACAAATTATCAGCTACCACATTGTGTGCTCCCATCCGCAGTAAATTTATAATAAAATTTTTCGGTGGTGCGTTCAGAGGCACAGCATACAAACGATAATGCCAACAATCGACTTGAATGCAGCAACCATTCCATGCCGTGCATTCCTCCAATAACAACAGCAACAACGCCAACACCAACCACGACTACATCGACTAATGCAACGAAACCGAAATGTATTATTTTCGATAAAGCTTTTTTGGCATTCACAGTGCGCTGATGCGAACCACAATTGTTGCTCTTGTCTCATACTTTCGTATTACGTTGCACATCAGCTATGTGGTCTCTTGCCTCACTCATCCTCCATACAAACATATTCGATGCGACGTCAACAAAAACACGAATTCACAATTAATTTCCCTTTGTTGCTATAATGGATGCTGCTAGTTGCGGTAACCACCAGCAGTTTTTTCTACGTGAACAACCGAATTTCAGTTAGTTTGGCTGAAACATACAGTGAGAATCAAAGGGGGACATGGAAAAAAGAGACATTGTT